AACTATTGGTTAATCGACTAACAAACTAAACATTTTGTTAACAATTAACTTGAACCCAACATTTACCGTAACAGTCAGTGCATGAATGGAGTCTATGAATGAGTGCATGAATTCATTATTCCATGAGTTTGTCTCGCTTGCCAAAAAATCTAATTAATTTGTTGCATAATGTAGTTCCCAATTGAGATGTCGTTGCCATGGATTCTAACGGATCAGATTCTTAAGACAAAGGATCCCTCGCTGATGGAGTGAGTCATAGATCGCATCAATATTTATGACATTGTTTTAATTTATACTTTCAATTGAATCCGTGAATCAGATGTGTATTATTTCCATTGGATTTATACAACGATTCAGCGCATTATGCTTTGACTAAATTCAAGAAGCAGTTCCTCTACGATGAGGTCGAGGCTGAGGTCAACCTCTGTTTCGATCAGTTTGTGTACAAATTATCCGAACAAATATTCGCATATTATAAGCATTTGGCCGGAAGTATACTTCTGGACAAGCGTTTCCGGTCGGAGGCGGCGGCGCTCAACATTAAGTTTGCCTGGCCTCAGGCCAACCGATACGACACACTCCTGAAGCAGCGACACCTCCAACTGCTCGGACGGACCATCGATTTGAATCGACTGATAGCCCAACGGCTGAACGCGTCGATGTTGAAGAGCTTAGAGCTGGCCATCAGTCGCTTCGAGGGATCAGATTTGACGGCAATCATCGAATTGGAGTCATTAATTACTTTAAATAAATTCTCCCATAAATTGCTCTCAAAGAACATAGATCTCGGTTCGTATGGCAAGTGGTATTGCATTGGTTTTTGACATTAATTAGCATTTCTTACCATTAGATCCATTCGACTCACTGTTGCGTGAGGCCAACCATAACGTGTCGGCCCCGTACGGGCGCATAACACTACACGTGTTTTGGGAATTGAATTATGACTTCCTTCTCACGTATTGTTTCAACTCTTCGACCCAACGGTTCATTAAAATGCCAGAAAAGGCACCGAATTTGACGCCACATCTGAATA